TGTGATTAATTGTTAAACTGAACGATTATTTTAAGGGCTCCAATGGAGTAAGGCAAGAAAGCTCTATATCACCCATTCTTTTCACATTTATGATGGGTGTTTCATCTAATATTAATTATTCCAACTATCTTCTAGAAAAGTATGATTTTGTCATTATTCACAATGAAGTCATTGCTCATCTCATTTACACGAATGACTTTCTTCACTTTAGTAAAGCCAAGCTCATACCATTTATTTTCTTAAGGATATCCTCACACCCTTACTAATATTTGTAGGTTGAGATTCAATCTTCATCATTCTAGAATTATTTTATCAAATAGTGTGAATGTAGAGCTAATGGATTTACTTACTTCATTTATTATGATTGATTTGTCTTCTTCATCTTATTAATTCAATGAAGTCACTATTTCTAAATACCAATTGACTAACTATTACATATTGTAGCCTACAACAAATAAATTTTAGCTTGGAATGGTGGTTAGAAGCATAATTTTTTTATCTTTTGAACTTTTGTGCATGTTAAATCCATTATTTGTAACTACATAAGCTATTGGCTTAGATCTAGTAGGATCCCCAAATGAATCATATAGATGATCCACTATCTCAATTTTTTTTTTTTATTACAGTAGCTCAAAAAAATATGTTATATTATTTGGTCTACCATAATTCTCTGTAAATTAGTAGGTCTCCATCTTAACTCTCTAAAAGATAATAAAACCATTTTAAAAGTCAAAATGGTCAACTGACTCTATAACACTAGCTCTTTATCATTGTTTTTCAACTCTTTGCCTCAATGTAGGATTCCATGAATAGAAGTGTACTCTTTATATAAATTCTTACATTTTGCGACTAACAAGCATATAAAATGGATTCCCTTTAGGTTATATCTAGGGACCCAAATCTTTCTGTTTATTAAGATTCTTGGACCCATGACAAATCTATCATGGACATGTTATTCGATGAAGTTATCATTAACTTTGCATGAATATGTAATGCTTAAGTAGGTGATCTCCTTTCAAATGGATTGTGAATACATTTTGCTATAAAATCCCTTTGGGAATATAATTTCATTAACGTTATTCGTATTTTTTATTCGTATTTTTTATTCGTATTTTTACTATAGGTTCTCAAAAGCACACCTTATCTTGGTTTGCGAATGTTTCGTTCATTGCACATAAATCTTATTTAACCCGATAGATTGTGTTTTGCTCAAGAAAAAGAGAAAATAAGAGAAAATCTTTGCAAGATTTTGCTAAAAATCTTAGCCTCTCAAAACATACCCGAGAGGATTTCAGGAACAACCAAAGTGATCCCCACTAGCATTGTGATATCGAGAGATTATTACGTCCGTCGTCCGGACTCCGAGCTGCACCGGGCGACCGCTGTGATACAACGGAGGTCGGACTTCCGCTGTATCACGGGATCACGACAGTCGCTCGGACGCAGCACGACGTCTGGACGACGGACATAATAATTTTTATGTGACATCACCCCTTCTAAAAATTTCTCCCATTGTGGTATGAGACGGCAGCATATCACCATATATTAATGGCTCAATAATTTGCTTCGGGCTTTAAATGCTTTGCATAATTCGAGGCAAAAGTTTGCATTTTTGTAGGTCTATGGAGCCGAATCTTTTTTAATGATGTAGGTAACTGCATGTAAAAATTGATGTATATTTCAATTTTTACATGCATGTGCCACATTTCTTATGCATAAAGAGATGTATTTCACCTTTTGAAAAATTAAAATGATCATATTTTTGATGTGATACGATATATTCAAGTGGTGTAAATGTATTAATGTTTAATACTTTGATATGTAAATACTTAACAATTGGGTGGCATGCATGTAAAAATGCCCAATATATTATTGGAAAGGTGTGCTTTATTTTTTAAAAAATAATATTAGTGATATTTTTTGAGTTGATGTTGATGATTTGAGCAAATTAATATCAAAATATAGTTATTTAACATGGAAATATCATGGTATATTTTTAAATCTACCAAAATTATTGAAGATGATAGGTAATGACTTATTTCTAGGTTTTAATGGTCTTCTTTCACATAATTTAATTGAAAATCTCATTGATTCGACAAAGTAGAAAGAAAGTGAAAGAAAGACAACGAAAATTCTCACTTCGCAGAGGGAAAAAGACTTCATGATAAAATAAGAATGTATCATGGTTATAACATCAATATCATTTGTGATAATTGCGATCGTGTTTATGTCATTAAAGCGTATCAAGAATCTAATGATGATTAGAATTACTAGTTAAGACATTATTATGATGGATTTTTTTCTAATTAGCTATGTCTAAAATGGTTAAGATAGCACTCATGATGTGTGCTTCTCATCCATGCAAGCCTGAATGCATGCATGGTTGCATGCTCAATTGCACACTTGCCTGCGTACGTTCATTCTTACATGCACGCATGTTCTCTCGTGTGCACACCAGACCACATGCTAGACATCTTGCAGCCACGCGTGTTGGTGCACACTTGCTTGTAGTTGGAAGTAGCAATAGCTAACCCTATTTGAGTTTGTGATGGCATCATTTTTAATGTAACATGTACTATTGAGAGATTTACTCTAAATACAGTCTTTATAAGTACCCTCCTCACCCACCAATAGCATTGTATGACATCTAAACCACCATATTTGCAATTTTTAAATTAAAAATTAGATTAGGATTGTTGAAAAACATATAAATATACAATCATTCATGTATGATGCTAAAATAGCCTTAACAATAATAAATATAAAATTAATGATGTTGGTGGTTGATATCACTTGTTAACCCTATTGTGTACATGAAATAATATTAAATGCACATTTTGATAGATTATTATTATTTATTCTTGATGGATGATTGATTAAATTTTCACATGCCTTCCAATTTTTAAATGTGTTCAATCATTGCTTTCATGTGAACACTCCAAAATATAACCTCTTCTAAATATACCCACAAAATTAGCTTAAAAATTATTTTTTTGTTGTGAAACATGTAAAATAATATAATACTCATAATAAATTTTAATAAATTATGAGACTTTTCTTATCTAAATGGTATGGATAAAAATAAATGCCAAATATTATTGTTGAATGATATACGACAGGTGCCTATAAATTGACATGCTATAACTCAAACACGGGACATGTGTCAGATAATGGAGGCAATAATGTCCTTAGCTTAAATTAGAACTTTATTTGAACAATTCATGTGGCTATTAATTGTCAAGTACATGAGAGCTATCCATTCTTATAAACTTTGACAAGGGAAAATAAGAAAAAAAACATGATTAGTTCTTCTTTATACTTCACTCAATAATTTGTTGGATGTTCTATAATCTTTCTTTTATCTAAAATTTAAGTCAATTATTTGTTATTAATTTTAAGGACAATGAATCAAATTAGGACTAAAGAGTCAAAAATTCTAATAGTTGAACTTGTTTTCAATCTAAAAGTTTATGCCTATGAGTAAGCTTTAGCCACATAATATTTCTACACAAACATGTCTCTAAATATTTGATGCGCTCTCATGTTCTTTAATAGCTTCATCTCACATGAAATCTCTTTATATTGATCAATAATCCTAAAATTTTTAAATATTACTGAAAAATATGTAACAAGAGACACTTAGACCATTTCATCCATTCTTACAACTGATTTTGCCATTTAGTGGGTACCAAGTATTTGATGGGGCCTCATCAGTATTTGGGTGAGAAGTGAGCTCAAAGCCTTGGTAAGAGATTTTATGGCCCTAACAAATGGGAATACTTGGTACCCGCTAAAGCAATTTGGGCTATAATTTGTAAATCAATTGATTTTAGGTAAGCCATCAACTATAGTACCAATACAACTATAAATTTTTAAATTGTTTATGTGGATTAAATCCACTCTCATGTGCCTAAAAAATTTTAATAAAACTTAATATGGTGGCTTGGCACTTTAAATAGCTAACATCATAATAAATTATTAAAGCACAATGTAATACTAATAAATATATAAAATGGAAAAAAAAATTCTTCCAATTTTTAAAGAAATTTAAAATATTCCTATTTCTACACATTCGATGAGGGATATTTTAAAATTCATAAGGCAATTTCATAAATATATTTTCACATGGGCTATTTATCAACATGGATGCCCACCATCAAACATTGCTTCATGCTTGTCATTAACTTTGCCAATTGCAATCAAATCAACCCTCAATTGCTTCATGCTTATCATTAACTTAGAAATTGCCAGAGGTTATATTCGAGCATTCAACCACTCTTAATGTTCATAACAATTCGACTACCACCTCTTTAAGGCTCACGTCACCAGAGGGGATTCAAACCCTCGACACCGAGGATGCCAACCAACAGACCGGGGTATATCGTACAAGGGAAATTTGTTTAGCCCATATTGGACCGCCCGTGATCCAGATACGTGCGCAAGAACTAAGCAGAATAAGAATATTTAAGATAAGAATAAATTAATCAAATGAAGATCAATCAGATGACCTACCCATATTCCACCCGAGCCTGTCAACTCGAGTGACAACAAGCTTGGATGATCCATCGACTTGACAGCTAATAAGACAAAGTTCGACTGATGCTCAAATCCCAATGACATAACAAGCAAATGCCAGAAAAAGTAATAATGTTATGTTTGTAATTTCACAATTATTTGGGTTTCCCATGAATAGAGGAATAGTAAATATTAAAAAGGATTGAAATTTAAGGCCTAATAGTTACTCCTAAATCTATTTTTATCTCTCTAATCTTTCTCACACTTTCATTCTCTTTTTTACAATACGTAAACTTACTTTTTTTTATTTCAATCTGTTAACGCGTGCCATGGCATTTTAAAAGAGAAATAAACTGATGGACTGGGCCAAGCCCACTAATAGTGCGTCCAAATTTCTTGCACCTTTAGGCTTCTTGATGGGCTAAATGTTAATCCAGCCCGAAAATGAAAGAACTATGATTTTACGAAGTCTGCCGGGTCGTCCATCGTTCTTCAACAATGCTTGCGCGGGAAATAAAGTTCGGCTGGAGACCTCCGAAACTCCCATCTTTCTCCTTCGCGCCGGCTCTGAGCAACAGACCTTCGAAAATCTCATCTTTATCCTCCTCCGCGCCACTCGAGCTACTTGGGAAGGCAACGACTTGATCGCGGTATACAGACCTCTGGAATCCCATCTTTCTCCTCCTTTCTTCCGGTCTCGAAAATCATCAAATTCGGAGCCATGGCTGCTGCCGCTGCCTCCCTCACTGCGCCGCTTCTCCTCTTCTCCTCTTCTTCAACACTTCAATCACTAACCTGAGAGTTCCCTTCTCCTTTCTTCCAAATCCCTAAATCGTTCTTCGCAACCTCTATCCCCAATTCGCACAATTACCGTTGCATTGGTGCTCGAGTCGCAGCGCCTAAGATCTGCGAGCTACGGCGCCTCAGATCTGCGAGCTTCCTTTTCCCTTAAATCTTCTTTTGTTACAATCTAGTGTAGTTTTTATTATTATTATTATTTTTTATTATAACCACGTTATGCACAAAGAAATTACAAATTTCTTACATGGGAACTGTCAATCTAGTTGGAACAAGAAGTCCTTCACAGTAGAAAGCCTGCCTGTTGCTGAAACTAGGCATAGGTATATATAACATGTGTATATCTAAGATGACGATTTTGAATTCTGTAGGAATCTAAATTTGCATTTTTTTCTGTTTTTCTGTAAAAAAATCTGGATTTCGGTTCTATTTAAAATTAAGTGGAATTGCTTGGTTGTTTGGGGACTGGTTTTATGCAGGATTTGGATTTGAGTGTGTGGGATTAGTAATGATTTGTAAATAGGTTTGAGGTTTGGTTTTTATGGAATTGATATTGTATTTTTAATGATGCCCTTGCTGAATTTTTATCCAAGCGTAGAATTTTTTTTCTTTATTGGCACAAATCCATCTTTATGTAAGAGATATTAAGATCTATTAATCAAAGTTTTATCTTAGTCTAGGCTACAAATTTGAAGACTGTTTGTGTTGTTTGATTTGGTCGACCAAGCTAGCGACAACGTCATTTTCCCGGTTTTGTGTCCAATTTTTTTTTGCTGAAAAATTGTGGTATCTAATTCTTCATGTTATTTCGTAAGTAATTATATAAAATTTTCTATTGAAAGTACTTTAATAATATTTGTTCTTTTTATATAGAACTTGTACCATACTGTGTGAAGAATGCATTCAATGGATGTTAAAAATAAGCGTTTAATGATTATGTTCAAATATGAAAGGTACTGGATGCAGGGTAAGAGTAAATCCAGAAGAAGATATGAAGGTGGCAAGCAAAAAATTAAAAAATGCAAAAAATATTTTGAGCTTATATGTATTTAAAGTGAAGATTGAAGAAATTTGCCCGTGGCTTTGAGGACATGTATTACAAGTGTGAAACATCATGAAAAGTGTATATACCTATGATTAATGACTTTGATGTTATGGAAATTGTTGCTCAGTCAAGTGAATGTAGTAGAGTGGAGGTAGTGGTAATTACTCAAAGTGATGGAGGACCCAATATGTTTTCGTAAGGAGGCAAGGGTCATTACTAACATGTTGGGTAGCAACCCTCTAAGATTTGACTCTATATTTTATGAAAGCATTGACAGAGATGATTATAGTGAGGGCCACTTAACCGACCAAGTAAAAGGTGATATTGAGTTAAAAGTGGGTGCATATTTTCGTGATTCACAAAGTTTTAAGCAAACAATTTGATCAAATGCGATAAAAAATAATTATGGGATAAGGATCCGAGCTAGTAATAGAAACCCTTTCTCTGTTGTTTGTGTGCATCGAGGGTGCCCTTGGAGAGCGAGAGCTGCAATATATGCTGATCTATAATCATTTGAGATGAGAAAATTTGAATCAATATATTTATTTCCTGGTGTAAATATAGGAGAAAATAAACATACAACATCTTCTTGGGTAGCTGATGAAATATGAGAAATAGTGAAGAAAAATCATGATATACCTCCAAAGCAGATCAACAACTCCTTAGAAAATTTATATAAGTTATCATTACCATACATGAAGTTGTGGAGGTCAAGAGAGCAAGCATGAGAGAACATTTTTGGATCAGTAGATGACAAATATAGGTGGGTCCCTGCACTATAAGCGGAACTTATAAATAGAAACCCAGGGTCTCATATTACATATTTTTGCAGTAAACATGACTCCTCTTTTGAAATATTTTATGTGAGTTTCATGGTCTGCATTGATGGATTTATGGTAGGGTGCAGACATTTAAATGACCTTGATGCTTGTCATTATAGTTGAGGCATCTTGGTGTGTTATTGTCTGCTACTTCATTGGATGAGAATAATGAACTCTATACAGCAGCATTCGCAGTCGCAGTCGCTGAAACAGAGTCAAAGAAAACTTGGCAATGGTTTTTAGAACAATTAGCTATGTCGATTGAGTTTGAGTTATATATTCTTGCATTTATATCGGACATGGAGAAGGGCATTGGAGAAGCAATCAAAGTTGTCTTTCCAGATGTTGAACATTAGGTTTGTATGCGACATCTATGGAAGAATATGAAAGTTATTTCATTATAGCTAGACCAATAAAGTGTAGAGTTTTGTGTGGGCAATAGCTGACACATATATTAAGCTTGAATTTGATATTAAGGGGAATGAGTAAAGATATATATGTCCGCAAGTGTACGCATACTTGATTGGTTTGCCATACAAATAGTCTAAAAGTGATTTTGCTTTTAAGATTAAAAATCATCATAAGTCGAGCAATTTAGCAAATTCATTTCACGCATGGATTGGAGAAGCAAGGGAAAAGCCTGTAGTTGATCTGGTTGACATGATCCAAGCCATGCTTATGGAGAAGAGAGCACGTAGAAAGGGGAAATCATGTAATTGTAAAAGCGAGTTAGTCCCGTACGCTGAGAAATATTCGAGAGATATTGCAACTAGAAAGGAACAACTAATGGTGAGGCAATCAACGATATATACAACAAAAGTTGCAAGTGAAAATGAGAGAAATGGAGTTAGCACATATACTAAAGAATGTAGTTGTCATGTGTGGCAATTCACCAGTTTATCATGCATTCACGATGCTTCGTTCATCCGATACAAAGAGCATCATCTATGATACACACATGTTCTTATGTTTTATTATAGTGATAAGTCGGTAAGGGCACAATATTACTTATTTATTTAATTGATTTTAAAATTAACACTTGACTTTCTTGTACATGTATAAAATGGATTATGAAGGTCATATATCAATTATTCTAAGGAGCAGTGGGATGTGATTTATCATGGCATATGTGTAGGTGTGCCTAAAAGTTTGAGGCCTAGAGAAAGACCTAAGAAGAGAAGAATAAAAACAATTCTTAGAACATAATGTAATAAAGTCCAAAAGTATCCATAAATGGGGGCAATGTGGACTTTCAGGGCATCATAAAACAACTTGTAAAAGTCCATTGAGCTAAGACATTTCACAACCAGAAAAAACTGATAGGTTAACTCATGTGTTTGAACAAACCAGTTATACAATTGAATTTCGACCTAAATCTTTGTTTTATGTCATTTTAAAAAGACTAAGAGTCGTCAACTTGTCAGTTCATCATATGATTCTTATTTTTAAATAAATCTCCCTCTCTGATCATATAAATGATCTGAAGTGGAGAGAAATCAAAGAGATATGATATGCGAAAAAATTTAGACACAAATTTTAAAAACAAACAAAGATGACTCGTGTAAGAAAATCCTTGTGTGATAGGTCGAGAATATACGCTCAAAAGATATCAGATCGAAACATCTGAAACACAATCCACGAAGAAAATCCTTATATAAGTTGCTCATATAACCAGAGAGTTTGGTTTTTGTGCTTGTTATGGGTTCAAGAGATCTCTCAAAGGAACATATCCCTTTGGTTAATTACATCTTGAGGGATGCCCAAGAATACTCTCGATAAGAAGGGTCTTGCTTACATTATTTATAATACTCAGTTAATTGGAAAACTAAGGATTTTTATCATCTCAAGCGGGAGAATCCTGATGTTTTTTATGTCTATACCAGGTCATAGGGTAGAGGGTGAATCATTGTATCCACTACGGGTTGCGCGGCCTAAGCATGTTGGGCCCACGAGATAATATCAATGATTTTTTCAAGGAGGTGTCAACAAAAGGGGAGGAATCTCTAAGTAGGTAGAGGTAGCCAGGTTAGGATATCATGGATCCGTCATCCCAAGCTTTAGAGACCCTACTTCTACCTGGTCGTGAAGGTAGTCGATCCTTGGCAGAGATAAGCTGCAACACTTGGTGATGACCACTTGATTGAGTTTAATTCTCCTTGGCTGAGAATCTTCTACGTTTTGATTCATTCTTCTTATTGCTCTTATTACATATATGGATAACTTGCATTTGCTTATATAACTATATGAATTCACTTTTTGATGGTTGGAACTTCAGCTGGAAGTTTAGCCCATGTCACTTGCAATGGATGGAGCCATCAAAGCTGTAGTAGCTCCTGTTATTATGACTAGCGTTACTATACAATATTCCTTTATACTTCTTCATGGATTGGGTAAAGTATTAATTTCTTATCCACTCGACATTGATTACAAGAGGTGTCTGGTGACAATGTTATATCACGTGTTGCACATTTGATGTTCAAATCCCTCTTTTTGCCCATTAGCTTTCTTTCTTTTTTTTCTTTTTTCAAATAGAATTATGGCAGCAAAAAATGAAAATCAAATAGAATTATACCTGCTTTTTAAGAAATTTCCTTGGCGAGATTGAACTTTGTTTCTCTTTTTTGCAACAATTCCGCTACATTTTCATTTTTTGCTGCTTTTTAAGAATTATCATGTGAAAAGGTGTGTATGTATAGCATTGAGAGGAAATTATTGTTCGTCTCTTTTCTATATTGCTGTTGATGTGTCTCATGAATGATATTATGTGCTAATGGAAAAATCTTGTTTATATTGTATGGGTAGGATTGCGCAGATCTCTGGTACTATTTGGACATCAATACTTTTCCTAATTTTCTGAATGGTAATCCTATTTTCTTCCTGCTTTTTTTCAGTCATATAAATTTTAACTTCCAAATAAAATGGGGCAGTATAAATTTCTCATCTCGATATATGCAGGAGGAAGGAGCTAATGTGACTGCAAACTCTGTTCATCCAGGATCAGTCATGAAATATTTGATGCGGCGCTCTCTGCTTCATCCTGATGAGGCTGAAGTGTAGAAATTACAGTAGAGGCGACTGATATGACATTTGTATTTCTGAGTATCTTTTTAGTTATGTAATATTTGTTCCAAAAGTAAGCTTGAGAAGGTTCATCACCAACTTCTTTATAAAATTGAATGGTATGTATGTAAATCTACTTTGGATTATAATACATATACAACAGATGAGACAATAAGAAACAATTATAAAACTAAAGATCATGCCTGAAATCTTTCTGCACATTGTTCCATAATTTTTCTGGTGAATGTTCATGGCAATACAAAAATGCTTGAAAGTCTTCAGCCATTGCACCAAAATCTTTTTGTTTTCTGTTGCCCAGTTGTTTTTGCCTTATATATGTTAACCATTTTCTAATTTTCAATATTGACACTTTCCTTGCAGGAATAAGAAGGCTGATCCTGAAGGAATTTAAGGGAGAAGAATCAGTATGTTCTAGTCTTTAATTATTATCATTATTTTTCTCTAATTTTGTAACAAAATTTCTTGAAAATATTCTCAATTCTTCAAAATTTGTGGAGAAGTGGGGTTGGCTCGAGTTCACTTTGAATCAATTTAGTTGAGTGATATTTAAGGTGATTCGGTGGCTGCCCAGCCAGTTTCATTTGATTTGAGTTTGATTTATGTCTAATATAATATCTAACTATTTCATTTTTAAGTAGGTGTAGATCAAATTTAGACTCAAGTGTTTCGATGAATGATCCGACATGATAACTCGCCATTAAAAATTTGTGTTTGTACCTGATTAACAGTTAGGTTAGGTTATAGCATAGAATTTTGACTTAAATTTTTTTCAATTCGAGCTCGAACTAATTTGAAAATCCAAACTTAACATCTACTTGATCCCAAAACTTACATGGAACTCGAAGTTAACTTAAAAGTTGACATAAAAAATAATTTTCTACCTTATAACGGTTGTTCGTCTTACATTAGTTATGTTATTTAGATTGGGTTTGAATCACTCGAGTTGAAGGCAAATAGAAGATAGGTTATAATTAGGTTACTCTTTCTTTTTTTTAACTTTTCTCGGAATTTTGGCATCACATTCTTTTTCAGCTTTTTAAGTAAAAACTAATAACTAAATGTAAGACCTCTCTATTTTATTACTTATGAAAAAATTATCAAAGATAAAAGATTTTATAGGATAAAATAATAATTTTTGTGTTCTAGAAAATTTTCTTCTTAGCTCAATATAACTTTCCAGCAAGCGCACATATAAAAATACAAAAGGCAAGCAAAATTTTTCATGAAAAAAATTGAAAGAGAAAAATTAAGAGATCTAATCCGATCAAAGTAATCTATTAAGAAATTAAGAGTATGGAAGTCCTCTCTTCTCCCGAAATGAGAAACATGTGGTTATAAACACTGACTCTAACAACTATATAGTAGTAATTTGGTTGCAACGGTCATATTTTATAGGATCAACAACTAAAGTTGGTAACAATAACAACAGTAATTGGCGACACAAGTCATAGTTGGTTACAAGAACCGTTGATGATCATCAAAAGACTTGGTTGTCGTTCACATGCACTTCTCTTCACGTGTTATACCTTAATTGTGAGTTTGCTCCTCTTTTCCTCTCCTTTTTAGGTAAATAGCGAGGGCATATTTTAGTTATTGATAGAGACATTTTGATAAATTTGGCCAACTTCCCAGAACACTTCATCGAACAGTCCGTGGTGATTTCCTTAATCATATAATGTTTTTTCTGCATTGAAGTGCCTTAACATTTGCAAAATTAAATAGTTTTGGACTCATTAGGTTCCTTTCGTCGAGCCACTCAGTTTGAGTAAATCATGCCAAACTTTGATATCATTTAAATTTTCAATTAATGCTCCAAAGCTCTTGATGACATTTCAAGTGCTTGATTTAAACTCATTTTGACTCGGATTGAATCCCTTTTAGTGTCATCGGGCTCGTATTATCAAGTTACTCAGTATAATTGAAGATTTATTGAGATCAAAGCTTAGATGATCCTGAATTCAAACTCGAACGATCTCTTACCCAAAATACATCATGATTCATCTCGTTTCATAATAATTTCTTGGTGACATATCAATATTAATAAACAAAAGAAGCATTTACACATATTTCATACAATAGTTATGCAATTATATATATAAGGAGCAATAATTTGACATCTCAATATTGTACGAAAATCTGACACATACATAGATATTGGAAAACTAGTATGAGGAGCCGTCAACATTTTTTACGTGAAAAAATCCTATAAAGGAAAAAAACTAAGGAGTCCAACCTTGTTAAAGTAATCCACTATATGATTGTAAGTAAGACATAATCACAATGCTAATAATTGCAGGTTTATAATAGTCACCTAGCTTGAATAGATATAATTGAATTACAACAAATGTAGTTTTTGGCGATAATAGTGTTGGTAGATTGAAAAGGTTGTAATTAATTACTATAACGACAGTAGTTAGCCATAAATGTTATAGCGGTGGTTGTAACTACGTCGCTTCACCACAAAGGCCATTGTTGGATATTACAATAATGTCACTTGGCTATGAAGGTCACATATATTGTGGTTGATAGTCACAGTAGCATCAATTGGCCATAGAGGCCGTAGAAGAAGTTGTAGTTGTAACTAGCCACATAGGCAGGAGTTAGTAGTTGTAAGAGCATCAGTTGGCCACAAGAATCATATTGAGAAGTTACAAAAGTAATTAGCCACAAAGGCACTAGTTAGTAACTATAAGAGTGTATGTTACCCACATAGGCCATAATTGGAACCCGTAGTAGGAACTGATGTCAAAGCTAGTAACTATAAGAGTGTCAGTTACCCACATAGGTCGTAGTGGGAAGCCGTAGCCCCTACCCTTAACATCCTTCGACTGTGTGACTAAGGATGTCAAAACTGTTCCTTGTTCCCGAACAACTTGTGTTTGACTAAGTAAACGAGCCAAACACGAACAAATATTTTGTGATCGATAGATTAGTGAGTTAAACACGAATAATGGTATTTTTTAACTAGTCGAACACAAACCGAGCCTGAGCTCGCTCAAGCTCGACTCATTTACACCCTAGTCCCCCAACCGAAAAAAGGTAACACAGCTCATCCAACTACAATGGTTGTTTTTAGAAGGGTGGGTTTGTATGATGGTTGGGAGCAATTGCAATTGGGAGTAGTCGGCAGAACTTGTGCATTATCCTCGAGGTGCACCAATGAATGGTATTAAAGATCATACACTGCACCGTAGAGTGTTTTATTACTCTGCGACATCAATCTTTACTCCACATCGCGCTTCATTACTTTGCAACGTATGTTTTGACTCCGTGAGGGGCTCGTTGTAACAATCAAGGGTGACTAGCAGTAATCGACGGTGGTAGGGAAGCCGTGGTCGACAATGGTTGGCAAATGCGAGAGTGAGAAGTATTTACCTAGTCATCGGTTCAAATCGACACTAGAATTCAACTATTTTTTTTGCGAACTTGCTCTAAGTTTAGCTCTTCCTCTAGTTTAAGCTATAGGTCCCCATTCATCAAGAGAGTGTTGCTCTATTTATAGAGTCTGTAGCAAATAAGGAAAAAATTTAAACCACTTCATTTGACAACCGGAGAGATTCTTGTGACTGGACAACGTTTTGTGGACATATAAGTGTCTTAATAATATCGTAATTGAGTGATATTGAGCTTGTTGGACTTGTCTTATCGAGACACTTGATTTGACTAGAAATATGTCATATTTGAAATCCATTTGATTTTTGAATTAGACTCCAAAAACTTTCAAAAGTGGTTCAACGACTTGATCCGAGCTTGATTTAGTTTAGATTGGGCTAAGTTTGAAGTCAGTGTATCCATCTCGCCGAGCCGAAATTATGAAATCGGGGTTCTCCGCATAATTTTTAACTTGGGTATTCCTTTCCTTTTGCATTCATTATATGACCTAATGAAATCACATAGTGAGAAAAGCCACTTGTTGAATGGTGGCTCACGAATGTGATGAAATCACTGCGACATGCCACATTAGGGGTGACTAGACGCTTGTATAGTATTGTTTGGTCATTTCTTTATATATATATATATATAGCGCCGTTAAATATTTTTTTTACATATATATATATATATTATCTTTATAAAAATAAAAATCATAATTAATAATTTAAAAAAAAAATTGAAGTTTATAGATTTTTTTTTAAAACAGGCTCTAAACCCAACCCTAAATTGAGCATTGTTGACTCAATTTCAACTTGATTCAGATCAATATTAGAATTTTGAATTTGGAACATAATTTAGCCGTCGAGCTTGACTCCACACTGGGCATGGTCTTAACCCTCTATGACTGGAAAAACTCTTTTGTGGAAATCCATAGACTAAAAAATATATTTATAAACAGTCATATAAACAATTTTTGAAATTACACAAAATTCCTTTTCTTTCTCTAGAATTCATGGTATAATTTGCAGAATTCAGAATTCATCTTTTTCTTTCTTGCACTAATTTAATTTAAAGTCATTGGTCTTCTTTCCATATTTTCATTCATAATTTTCAAACAGAATAATTGAATATGAACCTGCAAAATTATCGAATGTAAATTAGTTCTCTTCTGAAATTAATTAAAAAGTGTGGCATTTAATTATGCGTAGTCATCAATAATTTTATCGTTTAACATAAATCTTAAGTTATTTTTTTTGATAAGAAATGCTTAAACTCAAATTAAAAGTTATTTAGAACTATAATTTCAACAAACTTATAGTCAAACTGACTGACTTGGCAAGTCGGATCAAAAGAGAGAATAATTGACCCAATTCAAATCAAATCAAGTCCAGATCAAGCTATTAAGCCATATTTGAAGTTTTTGGTGCCTAATTGAAATGTCAAATGGATTTAAAATATGACAAACTTATTATCAAATCGAGATTCTTTGTGAGATAAATTCAACAAGTCTAAGATTACTCAATTTAAAATCATTAAGACACGTAAATATTCACAAAATGCTTTTTGATCAAGAGAATATCTCAATGTTGTCCAATTGAGTGATTTGAATTCTTTCATTATTTACAGAGAAGTCACTCACAGACTCTATAAATAGACCTACCTCTCTTCATAAAAGAAGACAGATGAGTTAGACCAGGAGCTAGAGTTGAACCTGGAGAAGGTGTTGAATTAAAGTGTTGTTCTGAACTGAAGACCTGATGAACATTTCCTGCTCCCTCAGTCATTGATCTACCACCGTTCACCGTCACTGACCACCACCAGCTTCCATTATGCTCGCTGATGTTGATGAATCCTAGAGTGCAACAATACACACCAAAGACGATATAACAACACACCTCAAAGAAGGTGTAACAATTCACCATGAGTGCGGTGTAACTCTTTGCAATAATTTTTATAACCATCAAACACAAAATACGATGACTTTCTCTAAACTTCTGAAGTTTTCTTCTCATAGCTCCCCACTATGATCAATGATCTATGATCTATGTGGTTCACCTGACTATAG